GAACCTCTTCCATAAGACTCCATCTATCATATATATATATATACACACACATTTAAATTTAAATTAAATATAATATAAATAAAATAAATAATACACACACATATATATGTAATATAAATAAATGGCCTTTGGGAACTTCTTCCATAGGACTCCATCCATCTATTTATCACACACACACACACACACACTTATATGGAAATTAAATATAATATAAATAAAGATAAATAATATACATACACACACACACACACACACATATAATATAAATATAAATAAATGGCCTTTGGGAACCTCTTCCATAGGACTGCATCCATCTATTTATCACACACACACACACATACACACACGTATATTTAAATTAAATATAATATAAATAAATATAAATAATACACACACACACATATATACACATACACACATATTTTATTTATTTATTTATTATTTAAACTTATATGCCGCCACTCCCCTGGGGCTCGGAGCAGCTTACAAGAATAGCTAAAATCTAACACAACTTAAAAACAACAATATCAAACATTAAAAGCCAAACATTACACACACACACGCATTTATATTTAAATATAATATAATATAAATAAATATATAATTATATACACACACATTTATAATTAAATATAATATAAATAAATATAAATAATACACACACACATATCTACACACACATATTTATATTTAAATTAAATATAACATAAATAAAATATAAATATATATATTTATACACACATTTATATTTAAATTAAATATAAATAAAGATATATAAATATAAATAATACACACACACACATATATATTCACACACATTTATATTTAAATTAAATATAATATAAATAAATAGCAAAAAAAATAGACGCGTTCACACGTGCAATCCGCCGACGCGTGTCTTGCCCGCCGCGGCGGCTGCAACGTTCCAGGGGAGCCCCCGCCGCGCCGGATCGAACGCCGCGTCCCGCAACGTTCCATTCCCTGCCGGGTCCCGGCCAATCCCCTCCTCCCTTTCCCCCGCCCCGCACCGTCGCAACGTTCTATCCCCTCCCCCTGCTGCTGCTGCTGCTGCTACCGCCGGATTGCTGCAACGTTCCACCCGCTGCCGCTGCTGCTTTGCTGCTGTTGTGCAAAGGCGAGCAAGGCCCGGGCCTTTTGTCCGCCTCCCTTCTTCTCCTCCTCCTTCTCGCTCTCTCGCTCGCCTGCCTGCCTGCCTGCCTCCATTGCCTCTCTCTCACGTGTCCCGGGCTCCCAGCTGGGAGGCGAGGAACCACAGGCTCGCTCTTTCCTCCTCACATGACCCGAGTGTTTGTCCCCGTGATCAGCGCCTCGGCTCCCGTGTCTGCGCCGCGTCCCTTCTTCTCCCCTTGCCTCCACCCGGCGTGAGGGGGGAAAGGAGAGAGAGAGAGAGAGAGAGAGAGCAGGGGAGCCGGGCCGGGCGCCTCTTTCCCCCCCTCCTCTCCTCTCCTCCCTCTCCCCTTCCCTCTCCCCTCCCCCCTCCCCCCCTTTCCCCCCTCCATGGACATGCTCGATCCCGGCCTGGACACAGCCAACGCCGCCGCCGCCAACGCCGCCGCTGCCAGGTAAGGCGATTCCCCCACCCCCTAGTCTAGGGGATCCCTTGGCAGGCCTCTCCTTCTAGGCCTAGGCCTCGGCAGGGAGGGAAGGAAGGAGGCGGAAAGGGAGCCATGATCCGCCTCCTCTGGCGCCTCTTGCACCGAACAAAATGGAGGACGAGGCCCAGGAGGGAGAAGGGGGCGAGCGGGGGAAAGGAGGAAGGAGAGAAAGGAAGAAAGAAAAGGAGGAAGGGGGTCCCTTGTTTCCTTCCTTTCCCATAAACATCCCCTTCGCCCAATCCTTCCCAAGGTTAAGAAGTGTCAAAAGGAAAGCAAGGGCCAACTTGGGCCTTCCCTTCTAGGTGTTTTGGACCACAACTCACATCATTCCTAACAGCCCAACAGCCTCGGGCCCCGTCCTTTCCCTCTTCAGTTGCTTAAGTATTCCCTTGCAAGTATTTTGGACTACAACTCCCACCATTCCTACCAGCCTCACAGTCTCAGGCCCTGTCCTTTCCTTCCTCAGTTGCTTAAGTATTCCCTTCCAAGTGTTTTGGACTACAACTCCCACCATTCCTACCAGCCTGACAGCCTCCTTTTCCCCTTCAGTTGCTTAAGACTTCCCTTGCAAGTGTTTTGAACTTCAATTCCCACCATTCCTAGCAGCCTAACAGCCCCAGGCCCCTTCCTTTCCCCCTTCAGCTGCTTAAGCATTCCCTTCCAGGTATTTTGGACTACAACTCCCACAGTTCCTACCATCCTAACAGCCTCAGACCCCTTCCTTTCCCCCTTCAGCTGCTTAAGCATTCCCTTCCAGGTATTTTGGACTACAACTCCCACAGTTCCTACCAGCCTAACAGTCTCAAGTCCCTTCCTTTCCCCCTTCAGTTGTTTAAGCCTTCCCTTGCAAGTGTTTGGACTTCAATTCCCACCATTCCTAGCAGCCCAACAACCTCAGGCTCCATCCTTTCCCCCTTCAGCTGCTTAAGCATTCCCTTCCAAGTGTTTTGGATTACAACTCCCACCATTCCTACCAGCCTAACAGCCTCAGGCCCCTTCCTTTCCCCTCTCTATAGTGTAGGATTAATGCAGTTTGACACAACTTTAACTACAATGGCTCACTGCTAGAGAATCGTGGGAGTTGTAGTTGTGGCCTGCCTTGAGCCTTAAGTAGAGGCGGTTAGCAAAATAATAATAATAATAATAATAATAATAATAATAATAATAATAATAATGTGTGTGCATGAAGGTAATATTATATTGTAATATAAGATATTTTATATTATTATTATTATTCCTGCTCTACTGTTTTCCCTAATCAAACTAAGGACACATCATTAATGTAGTTTGACACAATGTTAACGGCAATGGCTCACTGCTAGGGAATCCTGGGAATTGTAGTTGTGAAAGGGGAAAGGAAGGGGCCTGAGGCTGTTAGGGATGGTAGGAGTTGAAGTCCAAAACACCGGGAAGAAAGGCCCAAGTTGGCTCATCCCTGGTGTAAACAGACAGAGGAGGTCCCCAAATAGGGGAATCTCCAGAAGGGAAGAGGATATAATTCTGCGTCTACACTGTAGGGATTTGAATCACTTTGTCAACACTTTCCCTGCCCTGCCTCAGTTTGCATTCTAGGGAGTATAGTTTTGCAAGGCCTTTAGCCTCCTCTGCCCAAGAATACCAGGGGATCGGTAAACTACAACTCTCAGGATTCCCTAGCAGTGAGATCTTGCGGTCAAAGTTGTGTTGGACTGCATTAATCCTGCAATGTAGATGTGCCCCGAGTTTGATTAGGGAAAGCAGTTGGGCAGAAATAATAATCATACATAATAATATATTATGTAATAATATTATCTTCATGCACACATAATTATAATTGTTATTTTACTACCTGCCACTACTTAAGCCTCGAGGCAGCTCACAACTACAACTCCCAGGATTCCCTATCAGTGAGCCGTTGCAGTTGAAGTTGTGTCAAACTGCATTAATAATGTGTGCATGGATATAATGTTATTATATTACTATGATCACTCTATTATATTATTGTTATTCCTACACTGCTCCTCTGTAATGTAGACGTGTCCTTAATTTGATTAGGGAAAATTGTAGATCGGGGTGTCATGCATGCCAACAAATTTCTCTTTGAATCCCCAAAATACTTGAAGAATTGTATTCAAGTGTTCAGATTTTGCTTCTCTATTAAAGTGTAGCCCTCCATGTGTTGGACTGCATCTCCCATCAACCCTAATCAAGACAGCCAAGCACTGGTGGGAAATACTTGAGGCCCTGTCTACACTGCCATATAATCCAATTTCCGAATCCAGATTATAGTATTCCCTCTCTACTTCGTGGTTCGCTTTTAGCAGACTCGCTGTTTCGTGGGGTTTTGGAAATATTAATATAAAATATTTACGTTCAGTGGAGGCCAGGGACCTCGGAAGTGCAGCAACCTGAGACACGGTGGTGAAGGTCTCCCCCCCTGGCCTCCACAGATCCCGGAAGTATGGCGGCCTGAGGTGTGGCGGGGAAGGTCTCCCCCCTTGGCCTCCACAGACCCCGGAAGTATGGTGGCCTGAGGTGCGGTGGGGAAGGTCTCCCCCCCTGGCCTCCACAGACCCCGGAAGTATGGTGGCCTGAGGTGCGGTGGGGAAGGCCTGCCTCCCTGGCCTGCTGCTGCCTGCATGGCTTCGAAGGCTCTGCTGGGTCTACAGAGGCCCAGGAGGTAGGCAGGTGCCCTTGGGTTGGGCTGGTTGGCGGGTAAGGAAGCGTGGGTAAGAAAATAATATATAATATATATAAAATAATCTATAAATATTAAAATGAATATTGCGTCCCTACTTCATGGATTTTCACTTATTGCGGGTGGTCCTGGAACGGAACCCCTGCAGTAAGCGAGAGAACACTGTACCTGCTTTGAACTGCATTATATGGCAGTGCAGACTCATATAATCCAGTTCAAAGTGCATAATCTGGATTTGGAAACTGGATTCTATGGCAGTGTAGACCCAGCCTGAGAGTTGCAACCCGACATTTCCCCTAAAAGTCTTCTTTCCTTTTCATAGTGGCCCAATTGCCTGTTGTGGGCCCGGCTGGGGATATGTCATAATCGAGGCGAGAAATTGCATCTCTCCCCCTCCTCCTGTTTGCATGATGGGGATGTTGTAAACAAGAAACATAGTTATAGTTTGGCCTAATTAAATCTGTGACGGGCCAGCAAATGTGTGGAGTTAGCAAAGCTGAGCTACTCTTTTGAGAGCAGGCGAGCCATTATTGTGTTAACAACTTGGGAGTGTTCCACTGTGTAAGTATATGTGTATGTGACTTCAATTTGCTTGTCAACTTAGGGCGATGCCATTAATTTTGTAGAGCTTTCATCGGTAAGATATACTGAGAGGTAGTTGCCATTACTTTGCTCTGAACTATATCTTACAGCATCTGGGATTCATCCACATACTAAGTAGGCCTGACTGTGCTTAGCTTCAATGATCAGATGGGATCGTGGTGTTTTGGCCCTAAATAAACAAGGGTGAAAACCTCGCCAGCTCCAGTCTCCTTAGCCACAAGTAGTGGGAGTGGCAGGTCAGGAACATTTCCCAAACTTTCATCTCCCAGGTGTTTTTGACTTCATTTCCCATAATTTCTGAGCAACAATGTGTGGTGTCAAAGGCTTTCATGGCCAGAATCACTGGGTTGCTGTGAGTTTTCCAGGCTGTATGCCCATGTTCCAACAGCATTCTCTCCTGATGTTTCACCCACATCAATGGGAGTCATCCTCAGAGGTTGTGAGGTATATTGGAAACTAGGCAAATGAGGTTTATATATCGGTGGATTGTCCAGGGTGGGAGAAAGAACTCTTGTCTGCTTGAGGCAGGTGTAAATATTGCAATTGGCCACTTTGATTAGCATTGAGTGGCCTTGCAGCTTCAAAGCCTGGCTGGTTGCTGCATTGTGTATCACCTTAGCTACAGGCTCAATTTGTGAATTCAGCATAATTGAGAGGGACTGGTCTGCTTGAAATTAGAGGCGTTGTATTTGAATATTCCTTCTCATTTGTCCAGCTCCGAAAGGACAGATTGAAACACCCTGTATTGAGAAATGTAACATGACCGATTCTTGATGTGCTCCATTTCTGTGTGCAGGAATGTAAGCATTATTGTGGTTTAAGAATCTTTAGGATAGTTTTTTCCACTATGAACACATCACTTCTTTTCATTGCACTTGTATTTCGATCTATTAAGTTTCCCATCCAATCGTACACCGCAGCCACCTACAAACCGTGGCGGGAAAGAGCTGAAATGACATGAGAGAACCCTCCCACAAGGATGGTAAACCATCAAAACATGGGTCCCCTGGACAACATCTTTGCAGATGGCCAATTCTCTCACACCAGAAGCCACTTGCAGTTTCTCAAGTCGCTCCTGACACGACCAAAAATAATAATACATGTAATAAAACAATAGAGTAAAATGATATAAATGTAATAATAATAAATAGAATAAAATAAGAGATGTAATACAAATAATAATGATAACAGTGTAAAATAATAAATAACTTTGACTTGAATATAAGCCAAGGGGGGCTTTTTCAGCCTAAAAAAACCCCGGCTTATACTCGAGTATATACGGTACTTATTCTAGTGGTTTTATCCGCTAGATTAAGGTTGAACACTCTACACCACATACGTACAAGCTCAAGTCCCAGAGGCTGACCCGATTTGCCAAGTCATTTTATGTGGCCCTCCAGATGCTGGACCACAACTCCTGTATTCCTCATCATTGGACATTATGACGCGAGCTGATGGGAGTTGTGATACAGTTTAGTCAGGATAGTGGGGTTTGGATTTATATATTGGTTTATTTGTTTAATTGCGACATTTATATGCCGCCCTTCTCACCCCGAAGGGGACTCAGAGCAGCTTACAAGAGATATATATACATTATATTATTAGCATAGTACAATATCAGTATTATATATTACTATATTGTGCTATACCATTATATTGTAATATTAGTAATATTACATGTAATATA